GCTTCGCTGCCACGTGACCAAGACCAGTCTCGTGTGGGCTGAGTATACCACGAGGACGCCCGACCCTAGCCGGATTCGAACCGGTGACTTTTTGATTGCAACGCCTAGCTTGAAGACCACTCGGATACCAACCTGCCCTGAAGACAGATGTCGTAAGCCAATAGAAGAAGAGCTGCAAGCGGGGTAAGCCGTACTGGAAAGATTAGCACTGGCTGTCAGCTGCTTCGGGCTTTATTTTGCACCATCAAAGTGCAAAGCTTTCCTCCAAAATTGGCAACGATCGCCTCCTGTGCTGACCCCTGGTGGGGATCTGCTAGAAACCGTCCAAAAATTCAACTACCTGAGAAGTTGTATCAGCGCCCTTGGGATCGAAGATGAGATCACGAACCGTATATCAAAAGCTCGAAGTGCTTTTGCTAGTCTTTGCAACCTATGGCGGCGGCGCGACATCACTTTCGCTCTGAAGGGTAGAGTGTACAATACAGCGGTACGTTCGACCTTACTGTACGGTTGCGAAACCTGGCTTCTTAGATCAGTGGACAAAAAGAGCCTAGTTACTTTCGACCATCGGTGCCTTCGCAGTTTGTGGTGGGAACACCGCGTGAGTAACGAGCCTGTTCGACGCCTGGTTTACGGCACAGGAAAAGGAACTGAACCGTCTAGCACGGTTATTTCACGCACCAGGCTCCGATGGCTCGGCCACGTGTTGCGCATGCCAGCCCACCGACTTCCGCGACATGCTTTGTTTGCTCACCGGGGGTGTGGATGGAAGAAGAGGATTGGTGGCCAAGCAATGATTTGGTCCAGAGGAATGAAGGTCCTCAATTCTGAGCTGGCCTCAGTTGGAGCGTCACGGCTCCCTGGTTGGGGGCCGATGGACGATGAACACGTTTGGTTTGACACACTTGTTGTTATGGCAAGAAGCCGACCTCAGTGGCGTTCCTGCTGTGAGTTACTTTGTCCCTCCCCATTCCTTTTAGCCTCTCCCTCCACCTAGGATCTCATTTCGTAGCGTAAAACATAATAATTTTTCTCTTTGCCTAGTAGCCGGCTGGTAGCTTACCGGAACGATGCCCGTCCGTTGTTGGTAACTCAGCTGGCATGCAGCTGTTGTCTTTATTTTCCTTTTCTTTTATGTGTTGCGGCACAGTAGCTGAGGTGTTTCCCACCGCTAGCTAACGTGCATAATGATGATGATGGTGCCAACGGGGTCTGATAGAAGAGAGGTAAAGCAGCACTTACTTTTACATTTACTGCTGACGCGTGGCCCAAAGGACCACATGCCTGTTTTGTATTCCGGAGATCACGGAGTCGAGCACACGTGAAGGACCGGGCAACCGTCGCAGTATCCTTAGCCCACGCACAACTGGCGGTGATCGAAGGGCAGAGAAGTGTCGGTACTGCATACTGCTGATGCCACTTTTACGTTTAGTACCGTTGCTGAATCTGTTAACCGCAAGACGGATTGCATCTTTGTCGGATACTATCAGGCGAATGATAGTTTAGCTAACGGACTGGTCATTTGTTGAGAGGGTTGTGAAGATAAACATCCTAGACCATCGGATGATTTTCCTAGATGTTGCACTGCCGTTTATCAATGCGCCGCTGCTGGAAACGGTCGGTTTTCGTTATACCTACACTGAGCAGCAGTTGAAAGCAACGAGATAACAACCGGCAAGACGAAGCAATGCTTGCCCAGATGCACCTACCATGAAAACCACAGGCTGAATGTCAAGAATAGACGCCTGATAATCATACCAGCTGCCAAAGTTCCGGATACCGATTATTTGTCTACCCCATGCGATGCTCTGTTTTCTTTGCAACTCGCACCATGGGTAAAGAGATATGTTCCGGATAATCTCATCTGACACCTACTCCTACGGACTAATGTGCCAGCCATGTTTTTTCTAACCATGTCTATGTGGTTTCATTCCAACCCCCGCTGTTGGATACGATCGCTCCCATACTGCGTAACATGCCAAGTTGTCCCACCATAAACAACCTGAAGCCTTCTCCAGTCACACGGGGTCATTCCCCATGTTATTCCCTTCCCTCCCCAGTTGTAACGAGACACACTAGACCCACAATTCTATGTGATGTTAGGCGAACCAATCGCGTAGGGTTGTTGGACCCACAAAAAGAGCCGGGCCAATTCCGCCCAGGACTCTGTATTGTGATCGTGTTGTACGGTGGGAATTGGATTTCTTTCTGTGCCTTACAAAGACCCGGTTGTTTTGGGACTGAACGGATACTGTTGAGTTATGCCCATATTGTACTAAAATTTATATTTGAATAGTATCGCAGTTAAAGTCTCGGCTTCTTTTCTTGGTTGGACTCGTGACTCGAGCCCCAAGCGAAGTTGTCGCTTACACCTACAATATTCAAGCTCAGTTCAACAATAGGTTCCAAGGGCAAAAAAATGGAGTGGCAACGGGGCCTTCTCTCGGACCACCGTCGGCTGATGTCCACATGGGGATGCTAGGGGTTAAGCTCTGTCGATGGCATATTCTGCACAGGTGACCAGACGACCAAAGATTGTTGTCGAATGCCACAACAGGTCACGTCCTAATGCCGCATAGACAAACGAAGAACGACCAACATAGTTTCTTGGACGCAAGCCTAGAAGGAAAAAAGGGTCGAATCAGATAAAACTAAACAGGAAAATGCTATGACAGCCTATTTGTAAAAACTAGTCAGCATGAACAGTATGGTCTCCAAGAATTTTTCTCCAGAAACGGACGGTACCGTCGTGCTGCAACAGTTTCCCATGCACGCGAGCCTGACGCTCGTCACGGACGCACCCAAACCCGAATTGGAGAGGAGGCAGGCCACTGGTGGAATGTTTTTAAGACCCGGTACAACACAAATACAGGGTTGCACAGCTGTGATAATATAAGGAGGCTTGTGACCTATGTGAACTGCACATAGATCAGTAAGCAGAATCTATCGTAAGGAAAGATAAGGCATTGTTGAAGATAAGAGTTCACGAATCGGAACATGGGTCAGTGTAGGTTACTTGGACTCTATGCGTTCTTGTGGAAATGTTAGTCCCATTGAAAGAATCCACACTGTGGGCAGTAATACAAAAATTCCCGGAGCTTCGTGCCACTCTGGTGCACAAGCTGGAAAACTGTGTGTGCAAGTTATGCAACGAGGACACTAGTAAAGTCGAACTGAAATATTCCTAAAAAACAGTTACCCGGAATGGTATACTGAAGCGTATATGAAGCCCAGCAACACGAAATCGATAATACAAACAGTTGAAAAAAACAAATGTTCCTTTTAAGTGGCAGGCAGTTGAGAGGTGTCTGTTGCAACTAGTATCACCTCAAAAATGCCTATATAGCAAAATCAAATGCAGCTGATACGAGCAAACTGGTAGCTGTTCCTATCTTCAAAGACAATCGATGGCGATCTGCAGATTCATTTACCCATCTGACGTTGGATAAGTTCGACGACAAGGCACCTGTGAAAAGGAATCAGCTGAACAAGCAGGGGATAGAAACAAATTGGGTGCGAAAAGTAACCACCCGATCGACGCTCAATATCAAAACGACAAGCGACTTGCTGTTTATATCGTCTATAAAGTAACACCACAACTTAACCGTGGGTTAGAAGAACGAATGTTTGCTATTACATTGGTGTGGCTATGTATGTAAACGGACACCGCATACTTTGGTGCTCAAATGGTTTCTACACTTGATTTGAAGATATTGCCACTCGACTCTTCTCTTCCATCAGGAGTCCGATACTCGAGTACGGCTCACCTGTCTACATTCCGAGGTGCAAAAACTGGGACATGTTCACTACGTGGCTACCGGACTCATCCCTATTTTACGGGGTATATTGCATGAAGACCGATGCAGCAGACAGAGGCTGTACACCCAGTCGTATCGTCGGTTTCGAGTGGAACCCATAATGGCGTACAGAGCATTACATCTGGGTACCTTCGTCTCGATGAGACAGAGAGCCTATACGTGTGTGCGCCAAGCAGCGGATAGCTTATTCTTCATGCTTCGAGTGGTGAAGTAACGAACAGTTTACCCGAGACAATATTCGAGGCGAAATCGGTGTCGGAATTCAAGAAATTCCTAGACGTGCACTTTGCGGATGACAGATTTAGAGAGCGAACCTGTATAATAGAACGTCGCACAGCCGAAGTGAGTTGACAGTGTGCGGTAATAAATGACGTGATTCAGTACGCATGCCCGATAGTCTGTCGATGGAGTGACACAGATGTACATCCTTTAGTTCTATATTTTCGGTATTCAGTCCAAAGAGAAAATCTCAAAGCATTACAGTTACCGTGTCAGCAGCTAAATAAGTAAGACTGCATCCGACAATCCTTCGGCATCTTCCACCACGTGAATCCAAAGCAGGAGTTAACGTATCTAATCAAATCTTATCTTTCGTACTTTCAATAGAAGTTAGGCGTTTTAAACGTATATTCTTGTCATACATCTGTTATTGATCTACAGATGGAAAACAATAATTTGTTTTGAGCGTACTGTTCACGTTTATCCTCGAGACAAGATGTAAAGGAGCATTGAACACCAGAAGAACAATGAAATTGAGACTGATCGTTGGAACCGATACAGGGATTGCTAAGGAAAGTATGTACTGTTTCATTCAGACATGAAACTACCGTTTCAATAAAAATCGACAGCTGATCTGGTAGGAGAAAACAGCTAATATAAAGAATTTGGGCGATTGTTCAAGGTAACAGTCGAAGGGCCGCGATTTCGAGTGGCCGATTTAATCGGCCACGTGACTCACGCGGGCAAAATAAAGCCAACTGATCGACCGGATTACGTACCCAATGAGGTTAAACAATGGTGTGATCTGAGGGTCAGAAGACTTCACGTTTGTCAGGGTGGTCCATCAGTAAGCATCTGAGAGGTGATTATGCGCAAAAGCGAGGAAACGTGTTACATGAGCTAACGCACCTGACAAGCTGCATAACACAACTCCTTCCAAACGTTTGAATCGAGAAACTTGGCCGAAGATGGGCCACACAAAATGCGCTAAGTGGTAGAAGTAAAATAATTCGAAACCGTGATAACAGGTCATGTATTCAAAAGCAGCGGAACATGAACCCAATGGACAGGAGATCTTGAACGATTGTAGAAGAAACCAGAAAAATAATTCCATCTGAGAGAGGTGGTACGTACACGGTGCCCTAGCAGTGGGTGGAATGGATCACGAGCGAAGAGCAATTCAAAATCATAAGTCACAGGATGAAACAAAATAGGAGGGTTAGGCAAAACGGAGGAGATAGAGAAAACACCGCTTGCACGAAAACACGGCAAAGCGTCTGAGAGTGAAGAAGGAGTGAAAACACGTTGCATCAGATCGAGCATAGATCGACTCATATAACCGGCGCATGAGGAGCGTCTAGGGGGCGCATCGACAAGGAATATATCCCATCCGAAGTTCACACGCAAATACACAGAGAGTGGGAAAGGGAGAAAAAGAAAACAGGATAAAAATGATTCATAAATGCAAGATGGATTGGATATGTGCGCACATTGGTCTGTAAAACTGCATCGCAGCAGTTTAGCTGAGCTAGTCACAATTATCGTGTCTATTGCGCATTCCAATTGGCTCTCGCTCGTTTGTTGTGGCGTTTTCGGGCGCGTTTTGACAAAACTGGAGGAGACGGTTGATCCAGCGATGCAACACATTTGGACTGAAATGAGAGACGATGAAGAAAAAGTAGTCCGGATACACAATAGTTGAACAAGCCTAAAAACTGGTAAACTTGAACAATGGGGACACCGTAGGTGTATGAAGTAACATGGATTAAAATTGATGTGTACGGTCAGTGCTATAAGATCGAGGTGTCATCTGAAACCTAGTTAACATTTCCATATAACGACAAGAATTTAGTTATTTCATTCAGATACGTTCTTTTGCTTTAAGAGCCACATACGGATGTTCCCCAGTGCTGTTAACCATTGGTGTAACGACGATGTGAGTCAAGACAATGGGATGCACCAAAATTCGGCGCCCCAACCATTGCTCACCAATTAAACTGGGTGACAACTAGCTATGAGGAGGTAGAAGGAAGCACGGTAACTGAATCCAGTCGGATACATCTGAGCAAAATTGGGAAGTGGTCTCGCTCTTCCGGAAGTCGCAACACTATAACAGTTCAGTTCAGTTGTCCTGAACGTCTTGGAGCTACTTAAGCCACGTAATCAACAATACGATGGTTGGAAAACGGGAGAACAGGCATGTTAACAAGATTCAATAGAGAAATGGAAGGTTAAAAAGTGCTAGAATCGCCGTGGATGCCTACAATGCACAACAAATTGTCGGGAAACTACGACCACCGGGCTACGATGGATGTGTCACAGAAGGTGGACCTTGAGACATGCCAATCAACAAGCAGCCACTGGCATCTGTCGCGAAGCGGAAGCATCAAGCTTTGCTTGTATGAATCGGACTGCAGTTGCAAGCTCCTCTACCCCTCAAGCCAAAGGAATCACACCGTTAACGAATCCTAAACGGAAGGAACGAGTGTTTAGCGTAGCAAGAGAGTGCGGTGGATATCGGACTGAGTTTCAGCACGGCGAAGATCAGCCAAAGAGTGATGCCAGAATCCAGACCTAACTGGATAAGCGATATGCAAGTGGAGTAGTGTTTGAGGCGCATCGATAAGGATGTAAAGAAGCAAACGGATGAGGCAAAAGAAAACATATTCGGCAGTAGGACAGAGCGTGAAAGATTGACTCGGTGGTGCACCATGTAGGATTGAGAACAAGAAAATGGCACTGAAAAGTAAATCCAAGGGAAGGTGAACTAGCGCAAACACTGTGCCATAGTGGAGTTGGCAACACCCAGGCGAAATAGGTGTAAAGGTCAAGTCAAAACTGGCAAGCTGAAGAACGAATCGGATAGAGTCAAACGTACTGCACCTGTGAGTAAAATAATCTATGGTTTGATGGGTAAATCCGTTGAACGATCACTGGTTGTACAAGAAGTTGATAATACCACAGTCAAGCTCTCACCGCCCACTTGACATTGAGTTTCGGGCCCAAATGCGAAGAATAACTGAGAAACATGATGCTAGAATATAAATGCATGGGGCTGTTGACGAGACATTACAGGCATTTGCCCCGGAGCCTGGTAGTTATCGCTACTCCTTGGGCACAGTAACTGACGTAACTGTGCGAAAGACGAGCTCATGGTCCAGGTTGACTATGGAACATAATCGGCTCTCTCATTCGTTTTCATCAGAACCGCCAAGTAAGTCATAACACATAGACGCGCATGCACCACACACCCAGTGAGCCCGGTGCGATGTGAATGGAATGGAGGCCTGAGAGCAAAACTGTTCACAACTCTAGATTAAAATATCGGTTAAGCGCTTGGCATCAGTACAAAAAACAAACATGAAGCACAGTTTGAGCTGAGAACTTTGTTGATGAAAGCGATTAGGATGCAGCATACTGTCGAATAATATCAATTCATTGGCTTCAGAATGTAAAATATCCCATGAATCAAACCTCTCCATCTCCCAATAATTCAAGTAGACCGTAGAAATCGCAAAATCCGAGGGTAGGAGCGTCAGTTCAGATCAGAATACCAGCTATGCTGTATGTGTTAAAAAAGACTGGAATTATCCGATCTTCGCGTTACAATATTGTGAATAATCGCGTGCAGTTCACAAATACAAGACGACTAGTGCTTCGATTAAATTGGTTAATATATTTATCGATACATTTGATCTTCTGCTGGCTGGTGTGAAGTAAACAACCAGATACATATGAGGAAGATTGATGGACCCAAATGTGTGTAACGGTTATTTTATTCAATGGCTACATTGCATAGATTTTCCGCCCTCTACTTATGCAGTTTATGGACCCTCCTTTCGTTTTAATACTCAGCTTGATTGGTCCGCTGTCCAGCCATTTTGTAGAGCATGTGTACTAGCCCTTATTTGAGAATTGCTTTGCCTTCCCATCTGTTTTACCCTGGACTGCCGGACTTTGTTTCACGCCGAGCTTTATGGTTTTGACCACAGGTGCTCATTCTTCAAAGTTGGAAACCGTTGAGGTATAAATTTCCTAGTATAATTAACACCATAGATCAGCTCCGAGTTTGTCTTGTCAGTTTTCCAATGATCTAGGAATTGCTTACGTTCTAAGCATCTTGGCGCTTACAACAAGTGAAGCCGTTCAGGTGGAACAAAATGCGTATGTAGTCCCAAATAAACCATAGGGACGACGACGTCAGGAATGTCTACAACGGCTAATCGGATTTTCATATATGTCCACAAATAGCGTTGCTTTAAGAGAAGAAAGTTGCAGGATTCCCGTGAGAGCAGAGTCAAGAAATCTCACATGATATATAAGAAGAAATCTGCTTACACAGATGAGAAATTGTCGACCAAGTGAAATTTAGACTGGGTTGCCTTGGGTACAAATCGCACCAGTGAACGGGAGATAGTCATGGATATCAGAAGTATCTGAGTGGGCCAAAAGCGAGTAGAGGCCCACTGATGTCAGAAAAAAGTTTCGCCGTGTTACGGCAAAGAAGGTACTGACAAAGTGGTGAACAATCATATTGAAACAGCAGATTTGCCCACAATGAACATGGAAAAATTCTGGCAAAAGGGCCTGTTGGGATATCTCACCGAAGGAGTGGATGAGGACGAGTCATCGACACGTATCTGCAAAGGCTCGTTAGGTACAGGGACCCGTGGAATATCTAGAAATGGGAAAGGAAGAAAAGAGACTAATAAAAAACGCGAAACAGTGCGCAGACAACAAAAGTACTTGATTGGTTAAATTAGAAAAGTAACGTTTGAATCAACGTAAAACAAACGATGCCCGCAAGACCCACACTAGGCAGAGGTAGTGCCTTGCTCGCTAGCAAAAGTCGATCTTAGACTCATGGAGCAGCTATATTTGGTAGCGGTATGTGCTCACGTTATTCAAAGAAATCAATAAATTGACACACATGAAACAAGGTCTGTATGATATAGAATGGTGGTCGCGATGACAGGTAGATGCAAGAGCTGAGGGAAGGACTCGTAAGAATAACGAAAGTATATGCCAAAGCTTTAGACTACAGAGTGGCCTGATTTACAAGGAGTCAATTGGCGGAACATAGAGCCAAGAGGCCGGATTTCGGAGACGGAGTGGGCGCAAATGGCCGCAAAACATCAAGGAAAGTTAATGCTGGGTTATCAAGGGCATATTTGCAGATCATAGTGTAGCCCCTTAGAAGGAACATGGAAAGACGGGGAGCTCGAAAGAGCACCCAACCTCTCAAGAAATGAAGTCTGAAGAGAAAGACTAATTAACGGCTTCTGGTGGACAGAGCAGAAGAAAGATAAAACACGCGGTCGAAGCATTCGGATAAAGACCGTCTCCTCTTATCTGACATTCATATCAAGTTTAGGCATGCATTAGAATGAAAATTCGAGGAAATACAAAAGTATCAGGTCAGAGCAATGCACGGTAATTGCTTCACGGTAAAACCCATTAAACAATATGCTGAACTCACTAGTGCTCAGAATACTAGCGAATCGAAACCTAAAACCAAGTTGGGTACTAAAGGGCAGCGGGGATCTCGGGTGTACATGGAGTTTCGAAACAGGCCAGTAGATATACCGCCACACCTATCGATAAGATCATGTGGCATTACAAAGCCCTAATAATCAAAAGAGGCGATGAGACTTAAATGCACTGGAGCCAAGGTTACTTTATGGATCAGACACTGAGAGACTGGCCGTGTCTGACGAAGGCTGCGGTAAAATAATGCGCACAGCTAAAGCCTGCCAGTCGGCACTTGATAACAGACCGTCTGGTGCCGAAATGGATCGGATGGTGAAATCGAAAGGCAAAATCCAAGAGACAAACTCACGATTTCAATGAAGCGGGCGGCCAACTACACTGTGTGTGTGTGGTGTGTAAATATCGACACAAGTGAATCGAGCAGCGATTTTCAGAGCAAATGGGCGTATCGCCAGCTGTTTCAGTAACAGCAGACCTACCATGACAACTAGTGCAAGCGGAAGTCAAAATGCTCACAAGATCAGTCCTTGGGCATCATCAAAACTTCGAATCCGTTGACTTGGTGCAGAAATTTGTCCTCTGAGTTTCTTATGAAATGGAAGCTTACGGCGACATCAAAAAATGCTGGCTGAGTGTCTATGAGTTCACAAGTTCTTCTGTTAGTGATCGAGGTTGCTCATGTACGAAAATGAGAAAACCGTTCGGACTGTGACTCTAGACAAATATAGATTACACTTCTGATGAATCCAAGTGGAGGAAAAACAAACACGCAGCTAATGAAAAGCTTCCAGACTAACACTCTACTTTCACACCCAAGACGGCTATCAGGAAGGAAAATTGATCAACGTGCGTACGTAAACCGATAAAAAACGTTTAGTTTTTTGGTATGCACTCACAAATAACACAGCAGCCTTATCATGACCGTGATACCACAAGGTGTATGAGCAACTGGTTGTAAGACAATAGCATCAGGGGAAAAACGTAATAATGTACCGGCGGGAATATCTCAAAGTGTGCCGCATGAGCGATATGCTAACAAATAGGTACGTACCAAACATTCAGCGACATCCAATCTTCACGAAGGATCAAAGCTATTGCTTTTGGCACCAGTAACTACGGGGTAAGACACGATGCAGAAAGTGCCACACGCGTGAACAACAGGCTTCACCCCAAGACAGAATTAATACATCAGAAAATTTGCAGCGCAAAATAGAGCATGTCTAAGGCTTCTGGACTCTGCGACTGGAAAAGAATATCGTAGTCAAATCATCGCAATCAAGAAGGCGGTCGCCGGAGACCTTGAGTTGAAGGACTAATGTCGAACTGCAAAAGTCAGTACGGTAGAAAAATTCGGCAAAATAAGGAGAACGGCGCAAAAAGCCACTTGAAGAATGTAGCAAGGAAAGAAGAACCATATCGGAAGGAAGGGGGCATAGCAGGGGACAACCGAGAGAGTACAAGAACGTAGCAGAACCATTAGAGACTGACCAGGAGGACCAGTATGTCACAAAAGGGACTTTTTCAAATAGCCTAATTTGCTCGTTTCCAGCTCTCCGCCTTGTGCAAGTGACTCACTATTCTAGCTGAATGAGAGAAGTCGGTAGCGAGTTATAAAATATGCCACCGCGGCAACGGTCCGCATTCGGTATACCAACACACTTCGATACGGTCGATCCGATTTCGAGTATTAAATCTATCCTGAGAGATAGTGATCCAACCTAGGTGGGACGCGTATCGAGTGTATGAAGCAGTCGCTAGAGCAGAAAGTCGCTAAATTTAGACGAAGCAACTTCAAATTACTCGAGGTTGCTGTATCCAATCGGTTTGAGCAACAAATAATCGCTCATATGCGGATGTTGGCAGCAGATAAGGGCCAAAGACAGATTTCAGAGAAATCCAAAACAGGAAGGTTTAGTGTTTGTGGAAAGACGAAATGCCTAGCCACTTTCACCAGTAAAACAGCTTAAGAACAGTAAGCATATCGCGAGTCGTGGGTATACTGACATACAGTCAGTTGATGAGAGACTAACTCCAACCAGGTCAACACTATCGTCCAACATGGGCGACGCCAGGATAGGTAAGGAATTCACACATTAAGTGGACCATATCGATCTCGACAATGAAAAGGAGGTCTAGCGACCACTTGTAGCAATTGTTCAACCTCAACAGAAGAACATGCATGATTCCATACAACACTAGACCAAGCCGCGAAGTAAGTGGAACCGGAGATGGAAAAGAGGTCTAGAGGGCATTAAGTAGTCTTTTGAACAAACAGAGATGAAAAGGTTGTGGTTCAAACAGTTCTGATGAGAAGCGACTTGTTCGGACGCATAAGTGTATACGAGTTGTCACCTGCAAGTCCAGCGGAACCAAGAAGAATTGAAGTGATAATTTTGTGTCGGGCATGTAGTGTTCAAGATAATGACCAACGGTCAAAAAAGTATCACTCCGATAGTACTCGAAGAGAACTTGAGAGTAGAGTGGACAAAAGTATACAAGTGGTGCGAGGCCGTGTTTCTATTGTAAACGGTGATACGTGGCGTGTGAAACGAAACAAGGAAACCATTGAAGGAACTACAAGTGTTATGTGTCGATGCATAGGGGGCGTTATTAGTAGAACAAGAGAATAACTTTGTAGTAGCAGATGGGAATGAGATCAGCTGATGAATTAAAGAATAGTGGATCGAGAAATCACAGAAGGCACTAAATAAAAAAATGAAAAGGTGACTAAAACGAGAGGGCGGGGGCCTAAGCGAATTCTATCAGGGGAAGAGGGAGAATATGTCCCAGATTACCAACGAAAACAAGTAATTTGATGGGAACGAATTGAATAAAAGCAGCGGTTGCTGAAGGTGGAGTAAACGTACACAACCAGAACGTAATATTAGTTTCCTCCGTAATCCATCAAGCGTCGCCAATCCAGCTTTGAGATTGGTGTAGTCGGCAGCAATCGAAAAAAGGCACACAAATAACCGGACAATGCAGTCATAAACACTAGCTGGTGAAACGTGGAACAACTGCCATGCCGGATAGGTGCAGCACAAGATAAGCGGTTATGGTGCAACATTTCCCTACATGTCTGGCCAACCCGGTGAAGGCTTAGAGAGAAAAAGAACAGGTAGAGTGAAATGGCAATACACCAAAATGCCGATGTTTGGAAACCAGTGGGTGTGGACTGGATCGTGAAAACATCAAGAACGGCCTTAGCGGACCGATACTCTACTCGGTGACGCATTATCATCGGCAACCTCGCTAGTGCAACACAATATCAGTTTAAACTGAAGCTTAGATAGGATACAAAAGTAGTAGTTCCGTTCAGTAGAACAACTATAATCCGAGCACCGGAGTGCGGCGGATCCAGTTGCCACGACTCACATCGCATGAACAATAATAAATAACAATGGCAAGATAGGGGGTTGGATGTAAATAGAATGTAAAGAAAGTGGAAGTAAGAATGAAGTGCGTTAAACGAATCAGAATGGAACGAAAATTAACAACCAGAAACAAGAAAAGAATGCAGAAACGCCACTGACTGCGTGACCGCGCCATGTCTGATACAGTCTCCAACCATTGGTGTGGACCATCCCGAGGCCATTATCTAGGAAGACGACAGGCACCAGCCTGACCAGGTCTCTCAGTCAATTTCTTCAAGCTTTTATGCCACGTGATGGACTGGCCACCAAGCAGTTTCGCCCAACTTGGTGCAGCCAAGGCGTATAATGCACGTCGAAGATGCCGGTCAATGGGAATACGTAGGACATGGACTAGCCAACGTAAGTTATTAAGCTTCAGCAAACACTCGAGTGAGGCATCAGAAGATTTCTTGTCAAACACGAAATGGCAGACCTCAGCATTGCTCACCCGGTGTTCCTACCAAATGTGAGCAATACTCCGCAAGCACCGGTGGTTAAACCCGGCCAGGCGTTTAATGTATTCGCCGCGAACGGGTCAGCAAGACCGGCCATACCGCAGCGTTTTAAAACCCTACCTGTCACTCACAGGCTGATATTACGCCGTATCCATAGATGGTTGAGTCTGTGGAAAGCCATGCGGGTCTTGCTGATACGCGAAGTAACTTCCTTGGTGATGTGACCACCAGGTGTGACACAGCTACCAAGGTAAGCTAGTCAGTTACAGTTGATTAAATATGTTCTGAGCACCGAAGTGTGGTGGATCCAGTTGCCACGACTCACACCGTAAGAATAACAATAACACCGGTAGGATAGTGAGATTGGGCGCCAATAGAATATGGAGAAAATGAAAGCAAGAAGGAAATGCGTTAAACTAATCAGAATGGAACGAAAATTAATGACCAGATGCAAAGCACAGAATGCAGGAACGCCATTGACTGATACGGTCTCCAACCATTGGCGTTGACCATCTCGAGGCCCCCATCCAGGAAAACGGCATGCACCAGGCTGACCAAGCCTCTTAGTCGATTTCTTCAAGCATTTATGTCATATCATGGACTGGCCACCTGGAGGTTTCGTCTAACTTGGTGCAACCACAGCGTATAATGCACGCTGAGGAAGCCGATCAAGGGGCACACGGACGACATGGCCTCGGCAACACAAGCGACAAAGAGGTATAAAACACTCGAGAGAAGTAAGTGAACCGATCCAACACTTCCAGTGGCTGTTCGGTGAGAGCTAAAACCGCAGGTGTGTCGGTCCAGTGCTGCAGCAGTACTTTGCACTCTGAAGATGCAAAGTGTATGCCGAAGTGTGCAGTGGTACACGCCAATCTATCCAGTAGTGTTTACATAGCCACTGCGTCAGACCCAAGAAGAGCTATGTCGTCGTGTTAAAAAGTGAACAATCGCTCGCGAATGGAATCCATACAGGATATAGAGAAGACTGCCTTACAAGCAGCCAGTCAATATGCGAAAGGGAATAGCGTCAGAAGGACGATCGCCCCTCCTACGAGCAAGAACATTCTGCGAATGAGAAAAATCCTGAGGGTGATAACATCAGAGACCATCGGAGGACATTGTTACTTCTCTTAAACTGTACATACGGGATATGATGAGGGCCTCAGTAACAAGGATGAAACAGCCAAAGTTTAGTTGAGAGTGCGTTTTGGCTCAATGACTCGCCTGGCATTTGAAAATACTATTTCACTCAGTTGTTTGGTAACCAGAACGGTTAGCACACGAAGTTGCGACTAAAACAAGGAAAACTTAAGTTAATCGCAACTCTTGGTATCTCCAGTACCTAAGCCTTGTACTGTGCTTACTTATCACCACAGAGGCTCGGTAGCAAACCGTACCTGAAAGTTATGTGCCAACAGACATTCTTCTTCTGAATTCCGACCTGCAACATGTCAGGCGCGATGATGGCGGGTCGTGGTGCAGAGGAGGCTTCCACGCCATGCAAGACATTATAATTCTTTTGCCTCTGAAACTCGATGAGCTCAGAGACACCGGATGAAAGCTCAGTACGCATTGCAGCCGGTTAAAATTGAGTAACTATAGATGATCAATCATAATGATTTTTAGCGGCGGTTTTCGGCAGGGTGAAAGAGTAACCAGAGGTTTTGAGTACCGATGTATGAAAATATGCAGCGACATCTAGCATGTGTTGCGCCAGCTGTGCCAATTGGTGTCGGAGCTCATGGACAGCCAGAAAAACAGACTCAGGTAACCCAAATAAGAACGGTGACAGGATGAGTAGACTAAGTAGAAGGAAACGGAAGTGGAGAATCTGCTAATTCTTCACAACAATTCTTGTACTCACAGTAATCTTTGGATCCGTGCGTGAGTTGTGAGAAGAAGCAGCTACACCCAGTGAGGTTAATCTTCTTCATCGCACAGGTCTGAGTCACTCACAAACGTTCCCGGACAAACTTGAGAGTCCTAATCAGATGCATACCCCGAATTAAACAGATAACGAAAGTGACTCTAGAACGAAGTTTTTCGTGCTTCAATTGAAGGAAATGTGACCCAGAAAACAAATCACTATTCGGACGTCTAAAGCTAAGCGACAAGATGGCCCCAATACCTTCTTTAGAACGCAATGGAGGTAAACGTGATCGATGGTTGGTTAACACACCTCGTTCGTCTGCAACAGATAGCGTTGCAATTCGGTTTGATGTCACTGTCTAGTTAGTGCATTGTGAGTGGATAAGAAAGCTCAAAGTGGAGAGCTTGGTATGGGCTCATAGGGACGCACGCACAAGGGCAGGATCGGAGAAGAATCTAGTGTAAGTAGTAGGGGAATTTATTAGGTTTTTGTGTAGATTCGTCACAGTTAGACACAGACAGACAGCCACCACCAATCCAGGTGGGTGGTGGCTGTCTGTCTGTGTCTAACTGCGACGAATCCACACAAAAAGATTCTAATGATCCAGATCGATCAACAGTTTTGTACCATGTGTTTATCTCATGGTGGTGGATAGTAAACTAAGTCCACGAAAGCTTGCACTTTTGAGTACTAGGTGACGGGATGCCAGTTATAGTAAGGCGAGCACGGACCCCGAAATGACTTTGATAGGCGATTAAGATGAGCAATCATACCACCAGTAACAATTGCAATAGGCCCATGTTGGGTGATTTGGATAACAGCTGCGAGTACTATCCACAGAATCTGGTAAGTGCAGAGGCGTGCACAAATGATTTGGCAATCTTGAAATCGAAGCGCATATGCACGGTCATTCGATAGAGTTCATTCGAGAGAGCAACTCAGGAGCCGGAAAGACTACGAGCCACTGATACCAAGATGCAACCGTCATGGAGACAAGTCTAATGAACGCGAAGGCTCTAGTACCTTACTGTTTTTCATGCATGATTATGGAAAATAACACACCAAATCAAACGGAGTGCAGAGCGTGGCGACGAATCACTAGCCTGAGGTGTAGAGTTAACTTTGAGAAACTTAATGTGAAAAGACATCCGAGGTGTGAAAGATGAATAATCACGATCGTTAATGCGAACGATGAGTGTAGTCTAGTTAGGCCAGAATAATCAGTTCCCCTGTAGGATCTGCGAAATTTAGTGAAAAGAAAGACAAAAAAGAAGAAATGTGACCTCGCAGTATTTCGTTGCAAGATGGTGAACAGAAAGCGATGCAACAGGCCATAAGAAGTAGAGCTATGGGCAATGAAGGTAAATGACGAACTCACATGTTTCGGAGCAATCACTGCATCGATTGGCTGCAGGATGTGGCACTTGTACGTCATTATTTAAGGGCAATGCCGAGTGTAAGGGTTCTTTCTGTAGAGAACCTAGATCTGGTAGTTGGTGTGTGTCCGAACCGACGGGTATGGATGATCCAATGGTGTCGACAGAATTTGATCCCGAGTTGGTAAGAGAAGCGGCGGCGAGTGGACGAAACTGGAAGGAAGAGTGTAACAACATTGATGCACTGAGAGTCAGTTACAAAACGTGGAAGAGGACCGCCTTCCATGAGGTTAGAGATCTGTACGCTGGTACGCCGCACCGACGCCTCGCTGCTACGTTACTACCGCCAGTCATGTGCAGGCCGAGGATGTTGCTAGGTCGCTCGCACCTACGCAGGCTCGAACCGGTAACAATTGGATCGCAAACCAGAACCACTTGACCTCCGGTCATCATCATCATTACACAGTAGGTGAAAGTGAAAAAATACAGTTCAACGAAATATCGAACAGCATAGAATAATAAAAAGTAACACGCTATTTAGTAACATCATGCTTCAAGAATGAGGTCGTGGTTAGAGAGGAATATAAAAGGGATGGGGAGGGACAAATAGACTGATAAGATAAACATCATTGAGGTCGGCTCCTTGCCAGGTTAATCGTTGCATCCGACAAACGTGTTCATTATCCTTCTGAGCCCAGTCTGGCAGTCGGGAGACACTAACCGATGCCACCTTCGAAGTGAAGGCCCTCAGTCCTCGTGACCAAGTCATCGTTTGGTCTTTCCGCCTCTTCCATCCACACCCTCAGCGAGCAAACAACGCACAGTCGCGGGAGTCGACTTCCGGCTGACCGAAATTATGCACCGCAGTGATTCACAAGCACACAGTTTAGATGTAATAGCATCTGATCTGGTACTAAGAGACACTGGAAACGGGGCTTTAATAAGCGGACGAAAATCAAGTATGAGCGATACAAATGGCGCACTTACTTTGGGGTGCTCAGTTGTGTGGTTCTCAGGTAAGGTCGACAGACCGAGGCCATAATCCCCATTCGAAGGGAGCACAGTAACGTTGTGAGCTTGTAAACAATTCGTATTCGGGACACGGTAGGAACTCGGACCAGACAATGTGAGATGGTGAGGTGAGCACGTCCATGCGAGGGGTGTTTGGTGGACGAATGAAAGGGAGTCGAAGGTACAGGAGAGCTTTCGACCTTGAGGTCGGAGCCAAGTGAGATAGACGAGCGCATGTGAGGCAGCCGCGAAAGTAAGATGAAGCAAGGTCATGTATAAAATCTACAAATAAACAGTGGAAACTAGTTTCAGACTGTGAAAACAAGACAAAATCGTGCAGTGTACGAAGCCGATGACACCGCAGCTACAGATTAAGGGTTTACGTAGGACACCACTGAGTTGCTCACAGTTGTAGAAGAATAGTCATCGGATGGGAAATGTGGGTCCATCGGCCTCTCATCCAGTGAGACACACAAGGTGAGGAATTCAGCACTAGTCTTTTAAACTAAATGTAGGAATAAGTTAGAAAAACGCGCCAACTACCAACAGAATCTAGGACCCAGAGGAGAGAAAATAAAGTTTAGAGGAGTGAAAGTCAGACGATCACACCTCTCATTATCACGCCGCAGTAATAGTAGCATGAATCCAGATGAAAGAACAACGGTGACTACAACTGAGACAATCCGAATAAGCAACAGATGCTTCGTTGTAGTCGGATAACTCCCCACGTATTCGGTCATTCATGGCATTCGAACTCGATGGTAGCGCCAATTTTTCGACTCCACCATGAACCGACACCTGCGACTTGTGTTACTAGAATGAAACACCAATCCAGTGATTTTGAGACGCGCGGGAGGCAAACTGGCTAAGAACCAACTCCAACAGATAAGCTAGGTAGATCAAGAATCCCTTGCTCAGATAAACAAGCATAATGAAAGCTGACAGAATACACTTCGTTTAAACGCAGCTGAGGTGCAATAAAGTCGAGTAGCATAGGAGAACTAGTCTGTTACTCACCCAAAACACGTTCGGTGAAGATGTAGGAAGTAGCTGCCAAGAGAGGTTAGTGAATTTTAACAGGCTGTCAAAACGTTCTATGAACCAACGTTGGACTGCTGATTTCCAATCGGAGGCCACTTGGGGTTCGCAATCACGAGGGGACCAGTCACTCGCAGGCAAGACACTTTCAGCACGGTAGGGTCGAATGTGACGAAATCGGTCCGAGTCCGACGGGTGTTGATGCGATTCGATTGGGTCATCATCTTCCGTCTCAACAACCCCATCCTCAAGCCAATCGTCAGATAGAGGGGGCCAAACGGAGGCACCGGGATTCCAGTCCGGTGGAGCATCGAAGTTGAGAGCTGGAGGGGCTGATACCTCTTCCAGCTCGAGAGTCAGATCGCGCTCCCGTTTCGAATCAGATGTAGCAGAGCTGTTGGAGTCTTGAAATTCGATTGAAGCAGAACGGAATTGCGACAACAACTCGTCTAGTCGTTGCTCGAGAACAGATATTCGAGTCTGTCGAAAAGAATGGAGGTGAACCTCAAACACAGTACTAAAAAGAAGAGTAATGAACGCTGCTTTGTGCTGTGATTGCTGTTTCGTGTAACAGCTCGAAAGCGTGGTGATGAAAATTAAGCCGTAAAAGTGGCTAGTATTAAAAAGTAGACTCGGTGCCACAGTCGGTAGTAGCAAAGCGCAAGTTCACTCACAACAGCCAGCCTCAAAAGCAGTATAGTGGGAAAGATGGGACACCAGCTTATCGTGATGCAGCTCAGAAGATAGGAGAGCCAAAGCATTCGAGCTGAAAATGTGCGGACAGCAGAAATCTACCAGAGATCTTGTGCTATGAATTAGTGGGGAGGGGGGGCCTCCTAGGTTTCAGTTTATGTCTCCAAATACCAATTTTTGCATTGGACGATAAGGTTTTCTACCCCTTCCAGGTCGTATTCCTTTATTGCATTTCGCCTCGACATAATATCTCAATGATGGGGGGATCAACTGGAACTATCGTGCTTCAGCGGTACAATCGTTATTGATGTATTGAAATACAGTGAGCAGACTAAACTGCGCAGAGTCTGACTTTGACTTCATGTACCGGAGAGCAAGGACACGCGAGACAAAGAGCCTCCCGTTATGAATTAAGCATGACGGCGAGCAATGGGTGCAATCGCAGGCCACTTCATAAACCACATTAGTGTGCATAAGATGACGAATTAATGGCCAGGATACAGTGAGTCAACAAACTTTCGAAATTCATCGCTCTCAGATAACTCTAACTGCAGTGGTGGCGATCTGCGTGAGGAATGACGACAAAAATCCGGTTGTATGTTCCAATGTTGACCTATTCATCTGTCAAACCTGAGTAGCACTTAGCACGCTCACAATAAATGCGTCCGAAACATTGGCTTCAGGGAGCAACATAGCTTTGTATCGATAGTTTGAAGGAATAAATTGATAGTAACCCAGCAATTCAGTGGAGGCAGTCCATAAACATTTCAAGGTCGATAGTGGAAATACCAAGGAGACGGGTGGTAAACTGCCTCCACACAAAGATACACGATCGCAAAAATCGTCATCAGTTTGCATGAACAGAGCTCACAGGACAAAAACACCCTGCCTCTGAGGCACTTGAGGCTCGACTGAAACGTGGGATCCGGTATTAACTGGCACATCAAGTTATTGACGAAGTGACCAGAAGCAAACTTCCGTAACCGTAGTCAAGTACATAGTAAATGTATAAACCATCCATAATTACATAGAACGTCGGCGCTGTAGCTTCGAAAAATAAAAGCGAAATGATAGAAAAGTAAAAATAATTCCTAAGATAACGGTGGAGCCACATGACAGACGTACATGAACCACAATAACTAAGTGTGCTAAAACGAAAAACCGGAAGCTTACTTGCTGTGCTTGATCACGTTCCTCGGCACCTTGGGCGGTGGCTTTTAACCAGGCAGTGGTTAGATTAAATGAACGTGATAGGCGCTCCATTTGGCGCTTGTAACTCTGACTCAGCTCTTCGAGGTATCTAGGGGAATAGTGTGTGAAATAATAAATCATATAAGCCCTTTCCCGAAGGATTTAAAGTCCAAATAAAGGCGGAATTCGACGGTGTTAAAGACCAAAACGGTCTCGCACATGTTGTACATAAATTCACGAAGAATAATTGCATTTGCGGATATATGAAGAGGATTTGTGTCCAGAACTGTTGTGTCAGTTGCTGAAAATAGTGGTGCATCACGAGCAAATCCCATCTGGGTTGAGACATTGCAGCGATTTGTACTCACTAGAAGAAACCATGACGACCTGCGTGATTAATGTCAGAAACAAATGTTTTAAAGAGACCTGACTTTGCAGTGACATAAAAACTGGTCGTAATGGGGTCTCCCCTAGGGACACCACATGCTGACATCTTCCTGTTTACACTTGAACGCGGGCCTATTCAGCCTGCTATCTCCGCACTTGATTCACATTGGCGATAGATAGACGACACGTTTATTGTCTGATTAAAGTGTCGATGTAGCTGGGTTCAATAATGCACATCCATCGTTGAACTTCCCCAGCGAAATTGTACGCGACGTTTTACTAAAGAGACAGGAAGATGGAAATTATAGGGTTGCACATCCCAACACTGGCACCCCAAGACCGCGGTTTCGTTTTGGTTGGGACTCATAAGTTGGAGATAGCCTGAGTTGGGCTGGAACTCAGAGCCTAGTGGCTCATGGTTGACACCATAAGCACTATGCCACTGAGATCCGCGAGATCCAGATCCGTGAGATCCGCGGATTCTCCAAGTCCAACTTTGCAGACAGGAGGATAGTTCACTTGAGAGAAGGGTCTTCCGGAAAACTACGTGGGCAGTCCAACACACGCACATTCCATGCTTCGTACCTTTGAAATACGAGAGGAGCTTAGTTCGCCGCTTGTATTATTGTGCTGTCAAAATTTGTAAACCAGAGACGATGAAAGGGAAGAATGATCGCCTCTTTAAACGCTGCAAAATAATGGATAGCCCATCTCAAGTACGCCACTATCCGTATGCACCCGAAAACTTCCATGACTGTTCCTAAGAGGTGCCGTTCAAAGGGGATGTCGCCTTCGATTCACTGAACAGAAAACTCTCGACTGCAGCAGCCAAAGACTAACTAGCAACTTACCCGCATGTTGTGGTATAGAATGCCCCGCTTGTTACTCAACGCCTTAAAAAGAGACTCCAGGTTCAATCTAAATTGTATTTACTACATCAATTTACTTGCACCAATGGTGCAAGATACATTGGACATACGACCAGGCGTTTATCAAAACGGATCGCTGAGCACTGCCCGGGATCGCTAAGATGGGGCGTGATCGGAGGCTTTAACAGTGCCATCGCAAAGAGCACGTGTTCCAAAGTGGACTCGAAACCAGACCAGCTGAGTTATTAAAAGCGTTCTGATGGTAGCTGAGGCTATTGCTATCCCAGTAAATCAGCCAGAGTTGTGCAAACAAAAGGCTCTTGTACAAGCACTCTTCTTGCCATGACCATACAGCAACTCCTCAGCGTCGGCAGCCGAGTGCGATCCTCTTCGTCCCATCAGCTGCCGCAATGCCTGTATTCAGTTGCTCGACCAAACTATCGATCGAATGTAACATCGTTGTTCAAATGTTTCCGAGTCACCGATTCTCAGTCCCACCTACACTGGCTTACTGCGATGCGTTGCTTTTACATTATTGTAACTGTATTTGCCTGATGAGAAGTACTGAAAAGAGATCTTCTCGCAAGTTTGAGTTTTTCGCTTCAATTTAGCGGCAAACAATTCATTCCAATGCTTTTATGATACATCTTAGAGATTTTGGATATAACTAGGTTGTGGCTGACGCTTCTGTGCATCAGATGATGACAGAACAATGAGAACATGAGGCAACCCGTAAACAAGGTGACAAATACATCCATTCCTCCTAGGCTGAGCTGCTCACATCAGGGTGAGAAATGTCAGTCGACCGCTAGTCTGCGCACCCTACCTCTTAGAATACACCCCAAAAACAGTCGGGATCGCTGGTGTCTAATGCAAGATAGACGAAGCAAATGATGTTGACACAGAAGCGGTTTCTCATAAGGATCACGCTTAGAAGCCGTTGCTAAACTAGCTGGTAACGACAGGACACACATAACAACGAGCCAAGCTACGATTGTGGACCAGAGTCGTTCGTTCAGTTCGCTGATAACAAAGATCAGTGCCCCTGATTTAATGATTGTCAGACCAACTGTAAAATAGGTAAGTTAACAATCACAACCCCCGAGGTCAGTGTGAGACGCCGCATGACTAGTCAAGAATAATCCTAGCGTCAGACGGAAAGTGCGCGTCAAATAACGAATTGTTAGAAGGGCATGCACGACATGGTTCGGACACCAGCGGGAAGTGAAAGGTTATGGCGCTTCAGTGCGCAGAGTAGTTTGCCCATTCTCTACCTGGTCACATCTGATTCGCGTGTCAAAACTCTTTCAAGATTGTGCCCCGTCACCGACACCAGTGCTTCATTTTATTTTCTTGCTGTCACTGCGTTTCAGCCACAAGTACACACAAGTCCTCTATTCTCAAGTACTTTGTCCTAAACCAAAACCGCACAAGCTCATTCGCCTGTTTCCCGCCTTAATCGACGCATTCGTTGGGAGTCGTATCGACCCCCTTTTTGAACTAATCGATAAAGCTGGGCTTGGTCAAGTCCAAATAGACTGCACTGTTCGTTGATCCGAGTCTCCAACCCTATGGTGGTAGGCGAGCACGGGTGCGTAAGCACACAGGCTGGCGCACACCTTAGTACGACTTGCCGAAAACATATAAGCTTGGTATATCCATTCGACGCATGAACTGGCTGGATATTTGACTAGCCTATTGCAACCGTTGACAGGGCGAACGAATACGTCCATAAAGAACACTTATGGATTCGCGCAAAAGGTAGCGGGCCTTAGTCGGATGAAATGATGGTCAGTTTCGAAGTTAGCACGCAATCGTGTCCGGACTTGCCCGTCACTGTGGCCTCCACGGGGACAGACACAGGGCGCCTGCGCCTACGCCTACAGAAGGGCCATAAGTGCTTGCGCTGCACAACATACAGCTCCATCCACACACACCTCACATCTAGTCGCGAGGACCGTGCACCCCGTGCCCCAGCAAGGATTCGCAGTCTCCTGGAGCCGGTACATAACCAGATGGAGGGTAATAGATAGGTAGGCACCTTGTTAACTTCCACATCAAGCGCAGCCAGGCATCGCATATCACATCGGAGATTTCCTGGGTCAAACGCAAATGTGAAACAGACAGTCATTACTAAGGTGCCGAAATGCGACGCGTTGAAAATAGTGAAACACTGTTGGATTAGGAACAACAATTTGAAAGACAGGGTAAATTAAGTAATTGAAGGAATGACTTTGTCTTAATGTGTCATATTTCACGTTGAAATCTAGATTATACACACAAAAACAGGGATTTGTCACTGGATAGCCAATATCTTCCGTAATTGGCAAGTTTGTATATGAAAGACTGTAAGGAGGGCGCAAAATGACTGCAGTAGCTCACTGAAAATTTGATAGCGCTACATGGAGGACACATTTGTGATCACAAAAAGGGATAGGAAAAATGAATTTCTGAACTACTTGAACACTAGTGGAGACTAGAAATTTCACTATGGAATCGGAATCATGTGGTGGCATACAGTTATTCCTTGATTGATTAGTTTACAGGAATGGAGTAGTCTAAAAACAACAATGATTCGTAGGCGGACGGACACAGATGGTATACCCCATTATAGTTAAGATCATCAAACACAGGTGTATACGGGGATCACATCTCTGTTACGTAGAGCTTAGAGCATGTGCGCATAAGAACAAGATCGGAAGACTGCGCGGAAAAGAAGTGTTTGGAGTGGATACCCGAGACCAATTGTATATATCCCTATCGACGGCGTACTACTAGTGGATTGGGACGGTGGGAACTCCTTAGAAAGAGGAAAGTACAAAAGCCAACCGGAAAGCGCCAAACAAAGATAAGGATAACAGTCCAGCTCTCCACTCGACACCGGTGCGCTTGAAAGATCCAATTCCCGCAGACAGAACACGCAATTGCGTCTACAGCATTTGTAGCACACTGCGCACAGGTGTACATAGGCCATACCACGAGGATAGCAGAACACAAGGAGCGCATAGCATGGTGGCTGAGGAAGGAGCTTGAATATATGGCCATACTAAGGGATCCGATAGCAGCGATACAGATGATGAGATCGAGTGGGGTTATGATCGACACCCCAAAGGCTGATTGCTGAGGCCATTGAAGTTAGTATGGTAAAAATCTGCGTGAACAGAATGGACGAGGTGGAGCTTTCCAACGTGTGGCGGGCTGTCTAAACCCGACCAATCTGAGGAGCGTCAGCGAACGGATCGGGGATAGGAAATGGAAGCCAAATCAACCCCACACCCATCGCTTACGTGTGTGACCTTGTAATGCGGAGCACTTGTGACCACTCTATGAACCAATTAAAGTAACATTGCGGCCTGTAACGCGAGTAAGTTTCCAGTTGCTATAAGTGCTATACCAATCATCCACTGGTTCACTCGGCCTCACAAAGTTTTGGTGCCAAAAGTGATAAGCTGCTCGAACTATAATAACAAGTTGTTCGTAAACTATTCTGAAACTGTCTAACGTTACCAGCCTAGTGAAATGTCTCAACTAATCTCGATGTGTGATGACCTGATGGAAACTGCCGAAAGGAAATTTATTCGCTGAATTAAATGCCTAAATTTATATGGGGACATTGCATGACGTGAGCAATATTGAATGACCCACTGACCGGCCAATTTGTATAGTCCGTGCAATCGCTCTCATTTTGAACTTCAATGCACTTAGGCTTGGATTGGGACTACGACGCTCCATTTAGTGTCGAGTTTCATTAGCTTAGCAGTCGGACTGCTTGTGCAGTTCGAGATGGTTTAGGTGTGATTCATTCGAGGTTCTATTTGCGCTAAATAACAACGCAATCACAGTTCCAGTCTTTGGCTTGTTAAATTTCCGGCAAACTACAATCTATTTGACTTTTCAAACGTTCTGCTGCTAACAAGCTGAAAACAGTGACGGAACTGGAGGGCGTGGTATTTTCCAAGGAAAGCAGGGCCACTTACCTCATGCTGACGGACACGTTGCGCTCGAGTAAGCGAACGCGATTGGTTAACCGCATGAGTGCAGTATCTTTACGGGAACCAGCAAGTGCTGCGGGGACAACAATTTGCTCTCGCATCACGGTGTTGGATGAACGCTGATGCGAAGCGACGGGCTCGCGCGGAACAATAGTGGATGATGTGTTCGAGCAGCGAGTGGAACCCGGAGTAGGCGACACAGGCGGATCCACAGTGGGGAGGTGCATTAGATGTGAGAGAAAGTCTGGCAATTTGGGACACTGAAATCAAAAGTGGGAGAAAAGAGATGGAGAACAGTACCGCCAGCAAGAATATGTGGTGGCCTAGCGGAGTTCAAGCCAAACCCCGTGAAGAGAAAAATGACTTCACCAAACGAGCTTGCGCAATGGCGTTGATGCTGACGAGGAAGTCACCCACTGCGAGCAGATGAATGCAAGGAAGTGCCAGAAAAAAATGCAAAAGTAAAATGATGGTGTAGAAAACCGTGTGCCAGATAAACAGCGGAATTTGTTGGCAAATGGCTGACGGGTGTGATTATGCGAGAGAGAGGATCGGAATTTTCAAGTATATATATATATATATATATATATATATATATATATATATATATATATAATCATGATCTGTGGTACAGATATAGTGTCATCCGAATCATGGCGGAATATTAAAATAGCATCTGAATAGGAAAAGAACAGGTGGCAATTTTTGTCCAGCTTTTTGTCACAGCTTTTGAGTATTTTTTGACATTTCGTTTTACTAGTGGAAGGAAAGGGCATCACCGCAACACGCAAAGATACACGTCCGCCATTGGTGTCGGTCTTGAGTCATAACTTCTGGGGCCTCTAACCAGCGACCGTATATGGGATCTCAACCAGGGAGTCGAGATAAACTGAGCGAGGCCAACTGTTTCGGAATACTGGTAGCTCGGATTGACGATTCACCTGTTCATATGTACTCCGAGCTTGGCAGTTTGGTTGCAAACGTATTACCACCATGCGAGGTGGCGGTGCGGTGCGTAACCGTAGTGATTAGACGCCGCATCTCACTGCACTCAGGATGCCACCTCGCATGGTGGTGAAACGTTTGCAACCAAACTACCAACCTCGGAGTACAAATGAACAATCGAGGCCAACTGCTCCGTCGGCTTTTCAGGCGGCCTCTCCAAATCGTAGGTTGTCCACCGTGCCGTCTCGTCCAGCCCTGCCCAGCAACCGCGAACAATGCAAGATGCGAAAGACGCTGAGCGAGCACTCGCAACACGAGACCGAGCCACCGCAATTGACGCAACGAGACAATCTCCTCAGGCGAATGACTGTCTCCTCCCAAAATACTGTCTAACTTCCGCATTGCCTACGTGGTGCAGCCACCATATACGGGCAATGGGCCGCAAGCAACGGTGATCGGAGACAGGTAGCTGGCGCAGGTTCGAACAGGCCATCTCGCAACTGTACAGCGGTACAACGCAAACAGCCGCACAGTAGACGCGCACTTTGATGGAGAGATGGATGTAATGGCGGCGCCACAAATGTCTCAGTGTGGAGAAGGCAAGAGGAACCAGTGTCTAGCTACTAAGTAAGAGGAGGTATAGGCATCCGCCAAAGTAGAAAAGTACTTCGCACTTGAACGGTGAAAAGTGTATCCCTTACTTCGACGCTTCAATTGCCAAGCGGTTAAGTGTAAGCTGGACGGCCTGCGAACCGTCACCCAGCAAGTCGATTTCATCAGCGTAGTTCAAGTGAGTTACTCGACTAACAGGGAGGAGCTGAACGCCAACGTTTAAGGAGTCTTCTAGAGCATTTTGAGGAGATAATCAATGGCAAAACGGACGAGGAATAGGGAGATAGGACATCATTGTCGAAAGGTTGCCATAAGCCCTAACGCTGCCCAAAGTCAGACGGTACATAGCACGCAATATAGAAACGAACTTCTCGGGGATGCCAATTTTCAACAGATGGCCATAATGCAGTCCTATTGACAGAACATGACAACCATCGGCTTTTGGTATAAATGGCGAAGTTCGAGGTTCTGACAGTGTGAAAATTTGATCCATGCAACCGCGACAAGGGCAGAACCCAGCTTGTTCTTCCCGCTGTTGCGCTTCGCGCACTGGGGAAAGTCTGAGAAGTATGATGGACATCAGAAACTTGCAGACGAAGGGAACCAAACCTATACCTCTGTAGTTGAGGCAGATTGTGTGCAGGTCCTAGTTGAAAAGGGGGACGACTATCGACACAGCCCATTCTTGATCAAACATTTGAGAGCAAAGCGGTGAGTTTTCGAACTAGAGAATGGCCACTATCTTTATAGTGAGCAGAAGTTATACCATTTGAACCGGGTGCTTTAGGACGCTTCAGTAGGCGTAGTTCCTGCCAGATTTCCCGGTGAGAGGAAGGATCTGGGGGAAAGACCACTCAGCACCAATGCGCGCTCCAGAGGAAGCATATGGGACTGGTGGTCAGCAAAACTGTGAGAAAAGATATTCAGCCTATCGTTTCAACCGTCGTTGAAGAGTAGAGATAAACGAACTATCCACTTCACAGATGATTTTGCCTACATCAGACCGGAAACCTTCGGTGACTTGGATGAGACCGAAGAGTTTTTTCGTATTACCAGAGAGACTAGTAATTTCCATTACTCTAGCACCTTCACACCAACAGGCTTTACGGTCCTTTTGCAAAATTCTATGCAACTTTCGATCTAAGGATCAACGTTCTTAACTACGGCTGGCGCCAGTCGATACCGAGCGACGTCTGTCAATCAGCGGCAAGAAGACAGTGATGACCCAGCTTTTCGGCGGGTGACGGGTAACCACAACTGTTATTGCTGGCAGTAACTAAGGCATCCTTGACGCGCACCCACTGTGAATTCAGATCATCGTCAGAAGCTGAGACAAGCAGTGTCGATAGAGAGGCCTGGATAGCGATATAGGGTCCTGTAGAGTCTCGACGTTCGGCCGGTAGTGCGTACGAATAGGCGATTCTCCGAAACGCAGGCAAACCTTAACACGAACCAGTGCGTGATCGGAGTCCAGCCAAGTTGAATACTACGATAGCAGTCTGTTATACTTCCGCACTATCCGTAGCTTATTGCTATGTGGTCAAGCTGGGATTACTCATGGGTTTGGGAAGGCGAGTGCCAGGTAGCAGTCTGTTTCTTCGAGTGAAGAAAACTGGTGCTCAGAAAAAGCGATGATCACAGCGAAGAGTCAGTAGCCTGTCTCCATTATACAATCGATTAGTACCGAGGCCAAGAATACCCCCAAGATGGTGCACGCTTGGTGGCAGGCGGCCCACTCGGGCGTTAAAATCTCCGGTAAGAATGACAATATCAGGTTTTTTGAGGAACGCAGGTCATGTAGTTGTTGATAAAAGCAATCCTTGATTGTATCCGGGCTGCAAACTGTAGGAGCGGAAGCGGAGACGACAAATAAGACACGCTTTATCACTCAATGGTTAATTACATGAATCTCGTAGTGTGACCACACACAGCCGACTGTTGACCGGGATTCAGTCAAGCAGAGATGTGAGCCCTGTCCCACAGTGCAACCCCAACACCAGTCTGGTCAGAATCAGCAACCTCCGGGTCCCTGGAAAGGCGCAAACGGTATCTGAGATTAGGGTTTACCGGAGAGGTCAGTGTGAGGACCGAACTGGAGTTTTACAATCTGGTTTCCGAAAAACAGTTAATGTCTATCGAGAACGTAGCAAGAGTGCGGCCACACTCACTTGCACGTTACTGCCGTGCAGAGGACAGGGTAGTCCCCACAACAAGCGACGAACTTACCAAACTTTAGCTGCCAATTAACCTGTGCCATAAGTGAGCGGCGCTATATCACATCTAGTAACTTATTCACGATGGTCGTTGTCGTCCCCCGTAACTCAATGGTCTCATCCACGGACTGGCAACAGTCGAGTTGCGGGTTCGAGCCCTGCCATGGGTGCGATGGAATGCGCACTGCTGACAATTCGCGAAAGGATGAAACGGGTATACAGTGCTTTTCAGGGCGTGTAATGGCTGTCTGAGTAAGTCTTGATGTGACGAATTTCCACCTATTCAAATCTAACTCCCCCTACTACTCCACTGTTTTTTTATATTTCTTACAAACGGTTCGATTTGCTTGTGTTGACGCTTGTTTAGTACTGATTGACAAATTATTCGTGTAGTGATCATTCTGCGCAAGAGCTTAGTACTATGCTGTTCGGCCACCCAGTGTCCCGGATGCTGCTCCGAAAGGCCACTATTGATACAAAAAGCCACACTCGGTAGGTCATCATCGTTCATCATGCGTGGCAAAAAAAACCGCAGTCTGGTCTTTGTTTGCTTCACGCCACGTGGTCTATCGTGAAATCGCATCTCTGAAGGCGCAGCGCCTATCGCGCCAACTTTCCCATAGTACTTTTGGCGACTTATTCTATTTCAAAGGCTTGTGGTTCGTTTCGAGATTAAATCGCTGACCTAGTAGATACGACCGCCATTTGTCCTACGTCCGTAAGATTGAGAGATATTCCGTCTCTATGGTTGAGTATCCGCGTTCCCTTGGTGTCAAAATTTTGCTGGTATACTCAATTGTCCAGTGGAATGGTTTCAAAACCGCGCGGAATCAATGGCCAACGGGAACATCTCTCCGGTAATGGAAAACTGCAGGGTCAGTTCCCCTATTTCATTTCTTGCAGAATGTGATCAAAGGCTAATTGGGCTTCCGCAGACCAAGCGAATTTCTTATACTGTTTCAGCAACTGGTACAAGGGTGGGACCACATCAGTTAATGCATTGACGAAATTCTCGTAATATCCAACGCGGCTCCAGAACGCTCTGAGAGTGCACTTTGAGGTAAGGCCTGGGAGTGACTTGCATTGTCGATTTTCTCAGACAGTGACTTTCACTTCACTTTGTCCCACTTCGTGACCCAGAATTGTGACGGAAGTCTTTCTAACCTGGGATTTCGGCCTGTATATACGGGGTCCCGATTGCTAAGTCCGTTCCAAGATTGTTTCGAGGTGACCGCTGTGCTCCGCTTCTGATCGGCTATACACCACGAAGTCATTCCCGTATATTGCTACGCTATCCAAGTCACACAGTAAGCACAACATTAAACGTCTTAAAGCGAACGGGGCTTCCAACAGTTAGAAAGGCATCGTTTTAAATTGACATTGTTTCTGACCGACCGTAAACACAGCTTTTGCTGTCTTGTTTAATCTTCAGTTGCCAATATCCAGACCGTAAATATTCTCGAATGCTGTAATCTATCAAAATGTTGGCA